CTGGTGCCCGGGGGGTGCAACCTGGGAGACTGCCTGGCCATAGGCGCTGCCGCAGTTACATCCCACACCATACCCAGCAGGCAGATTTGAGGGGAGAGAAAACCCGAGTGTGTGTTCGTGCAATCTTTTCTCATTTTTTTTTTTTTTTTTAACACAGAAAAGAAGGCTATTGCCTACACGGCTTGAGACACATGCTTAGCATTTTCCTAAGACTAGGTAGGAGTCAACACAGTAGGATGGACCAGATGAATAGGGCAAAACTACAATACTCATTCTTAGGTTCTCTGCCTCCGACTCTGATTAGCATTTGATCATTCTTTTGCTTGGTGGATAAATGCAGAAATATAGGATGGTTAAACTTGCATGAGTGCTTGCCATTGACCAAACTCTTCTCGTGACTTAGCAGTGCCCCATCATGGATTTGCTTGAAAGGACTTAGGCCAACTCTGAGCTTTTAAGAAAATCCCCCTTCGGCCACTCAGGCCAGATTTCTCCTCAGGTTTTGCAAATTAAAGTGGCCATTTCTTTCATTATTTTTTACCTTTTTATTTCCCTTTTCCTTCATCTCCTGGTTTGTTTGAATGTTACAGTTCTATGCTTCCTTGCTGCAGGGAGTTTCACATTGCACTTGTATACATCTTGCAATGATTTTCATTGTTTCAATTGCCTTCTGTCCCAATTAATGCCACTTGATGTGATTTCTGTGATTCTAGCAGCTGGAAGTCACCATATTACATGCACTCAGTTTCTCTTTCTAGCAGCCTTCTGTCTGTAAATACATATATGAGCCAAAACTATTGTCAGATACACTCATGGCATCTCAAAGACGGCTGTAGAAACTTGGCTGGATGACATAAAGGAGAGCAAGAACTGCCGCAGCACATTCAGACTTGGGGAATATAAGCAAACAAGCAGAGTTGCATGTAAAACAAGATTTGCTGGAATCAGTTGGATGTACTTCCAAACAGTCTGGAGCCATCACAGGCTGTGTTAGGCTCTGTGGCAAGGTTTTATCTGAATGTTTGGAATGTTTCTCATCTTTTGTTCCGTTATGTAGTAGGTTGCTAGTTTGTCCTGAAACAAGAGGCAGAACCATCTTTTTTCCTCTGTAGGAGTGGAAAGGATGGTGCAATTTCGAGAGTGGAAACTTGGGAACCAAATGAGGAAATACTACCACAAAGCCTCAAATTCAGATATTTGCTCCCTTTCTAGCTTCTATAGAAAGATATGACACCGTGTCAATGTGCATAGCTATCCTACAGCTGCCCATTCAATCATTCCGATCCTGTGTAGCACCCAAGTAGCTGACAGGAACAGCTTGCTTTTTAATCCCTTTCACATAAAAGATTAGGAATGCGAGATAAACACTCAGGTGTGGTTTCGGTACGTGGCTGTGTTTTGCCACTTCTTCATTCTGCTAAGATCCCTTCTAGGTCTCATCCAAAGCTTAGTGATTTAAGGGGGAGTCCCGCTTTGGATTACGCATCTCAGGACAAATCCTGCTCCTTTTGAGGTCGATGATGGTGTGCCATTGACTTCACTTACAGCAAGGTGGGGCACAACAAGGTGACAGTGTATGAACAGCAGGTATTTTACAGGTTCTGAGACAACAAATAAGAGAGAGCAAGTATGTGTGTCAAGAAATGAAAACTATGGTTAGCACGTAGGAAAGGAATATTACAGATCAAGTACTGTTGCACAATACAGGCACCCTTTGCTATGTGAGCTTTTTCAATTTTAGTAAATGCAAGCATGCACCTCATCTCAGTCACCAATGAGTATCGTTTAGGCACAGCAGTTCTTGCTTGATCTTCACCTCAGCAAAGCTCCCTGTGAATTCAGTAGAGGTTTTAACTGAGGAATACAGGATTTACCTCCATTTCCCCATGTTCTCATTCATAAGCTTTTTAAGCAGGATTAAGACAAAGACTTCTAGAAGTTCGGCCATTTCAGACATGCACAGTGATATGAAATGAAAAGCAGTTCTGGGAATTAGGAAGAATGCGAATTTTGTGTATTTTACATCCCAGAGAGGTCCCAAAGCCTGCTCCCCAAGCCACAGAGTTTTGCGAGAGTCTGGCATTATTTGATTCCAGAGTAACATCTGATTTTTTAGACCAGGCATTTAATTATACTTATTGTGTAACCAGTACGTTGTGAAAACTCCATTTGGAAAAAAGTTATTTTACCAATTCATAGTGATGCAAAACCAAACCAAAAATAGTTTGAAACTTTCTGGCAAAGAGGTCTGAAGCAGAACAGATCTTCTGCAGAGTAGGGTCATGGTATATCCATTGTTCTCATGAAAAGTCTTGTCTTTCACTTTGGAGTTTTAGGCTGCAAAGTAAAAAAAGTAATAATTTGGTCTTCTAATTATGTTTTCTGGACCTGTAATAGTTTCCTTAGAGCAGTAGCAGCTCTGACCAACAGTGGTATTGAAGTC